TTAATGTTCAACTTGACCCATTGGCCAAGTCACGGTTGAACCAGCAAGAGATACAGGGTGATAGATCCCTATCTATCCGGTCCGACTAGCAATGGTCAATATCTCGACAACTCTTGTCGAGGCAGAACCAAAAGAGGTCATGTTTAAAAGTTAAAGAGAGTTGACTCACCATCTGCAGGTGCTCTTGATCCCCATGACGGAAATTCAGTTCCTGCACTAATAGCCGGCGAGGTGGGCAAATAAAGCTCCTGACCCGAACCATGGTTGGGCATGAGCAAAGCCCCCCTCGCACTGCCTACACACAAATCCTCATGATGTTGAAAAATAAAAGTGCCGGCAGGGGGTTGAAACGACAGCACCACCCGGCTGTCCAACGCCTCGTTTTCCAAGTTCAGCTGATAGGTATTGGCTTCAACGGCCTCCGAGCCTATAGAGCCCTAGGGTAATCCAAGGGGCTTTCTCACGCCGCGGGTGACGGTCTAGTATTAAACCTGGCATATCTCCTGCAAGTCTTGTACGACATAAGACATGTACCCTGCAGAGTGTAACTTGATTGAGTGAGCGAGAATTGCGGCCTTGCTGGTTCCAAAGAAAGCAATGTGACCCTAAGACGGGAGGTTTCCACTGTTGGGTGCTCCATGCAGATGGCTTCAGCTACACTCTTCTCCTCGTCTCAGGATCGACGAGAATCACCTTTGCGGTTCAGGCAGGCAGTTTATCGTTTCTGCCGTCAAATGAACGGCTTCGAGTGTGGCAAAAGCTTACTAGGAAAAGACGAAACCATTAAATTACCTCGGTCTTAGACGGTTGAGACGGCTGTTGTGGGCGAAAGCCGTTAATCTTCAAGCCCACCAGGGAACTTTGGAGAGGCGGAATCATTGGATCTATAGAGACATGTTTAGCATACGGTTTATAAAAAGCCTGCAACGATACCGCGGATTCGTTGGGCGAGTTCGAAAATGTCTGGAGCAAGGGACTTGGGTCAATGCGGAAAACAGAAGCTTCCTTCGATCGCGGTTGGGCTCTCATGGATAATATCGTCCAAATGGGACTCAAGACAACCTGTTTGGATAAAATTCTCGACCGAATTGTGAAAGGGGCCGGCTCTACCCAGGTTATTTATTCCTTCATAACAAACCTCTTCGGGCAGGTGTCTGCGACAGGTCCCTCTATTGCAACTCTAGGTCCTGCCACCGTGGTAAGTAATTCGGGTATTTTATCTCGCCACTGCGTTGAAGTATCCTTGACTGGAACAAGCTTGTTTCAGGTCGATGTCTGACCGAGCTGCCAATCGCGAGGGACTCCCATACGGCCATGGCCATTTGATCATGGAGGAATAGGGCGGGCTCCTGAGAAGCTGTTGATCATGTTTTTTTGAAGCTACCCCGGTTTCTAAAGGTTTCGTCAGCGATGCTGAGCTTGGTGTGTCTTGGATAACGGCAGATGCCGCAAGGGCAAAACCATGTCGATGTGCGACATTATATATAAGCTCTGAGAGCGGAATACATGTTATTACTTTTTCCAGGCACACAATTAAGATACCCGAGCCGGTTGTAATCATGACAATTTGACAACCAGCATCAAGCTTACGAGCGGAAAGCTTAGCAGTGACATGTTGCAGCTGAGGCACTCCCGGAGCAGGCACGAGACGGCCATCTTTTCGTTTCCGCCGATAGCGACAATGTCAAGATTCGAGATACAATCGTTGGCGCTCTTGTGCAAAATTTCAATGTCCCACGTGGTTATGAGCTTGGAAAAGCACGGCCTCATTGCCACCTTGTCCAAGGATTGGCACAAAGTTGCCATACAGAAGCAGCATCCTGCTCCTCTGAAAAGCCCTCGACATTTTTGATAGAACTCGTGTGGAGCTATTTGCGGGTCATGAAGGAGCGTGCAAGCTAATATTCTCAGAAGATTCAAAGACTTGAGTGTCTACATCCGACTCTTCAATACGACATGGGACGCTGACACGGACAGACTCATCATGTGTCAGACACTGGCCAGCAAACCGAACGAGAATGTCTTTCTTGGGCACAGCAAGATTGCACTCGCGCTAGGAGTTGCCAACATTCAAATTCTAGAACACCAATAGGGCGCTGCTTTCGTGACTTGGGGGGAACCTGGACGACGGTACACAGATCGGTTCCGTTTCCCAACATGGTTGTCATGGTTATTCTCACAAGTTGCAAAGTCCCAGATGGCCAAGACGTGTAATAGGGGAGAGACGGAGGGGTTTGGGCCATTGTTGCTGCTTCGATCCTCCGAAGACGGCAGCTGACTTTGGCTCGTGGGAGTAACTTCACCCGCACATGGTCTCTAGCCACATGTGTTTCTCCGGGTCAGAGTGAGTATACGCTTACATGGACCCTCACTCTGCCTCGTAGGGCGCACGACATGTAGTGTCCTTTTTTGCCTCCACCTGCGTCTATCACGAAAACCTGTACAACCTACCGACTAAGAAACGCAAGACGCCACGCGAGCCTTCTCATACCACGTAAAGAAACAATCCTTGGCTCCGATCTGAGCCAGAAGTAGTAAGGCCATTCTTGCGTGTTGTCATCGTATTGTCGAAAATGGCTTTAAAGTTTCTTTGCCCCGCCCGCCTCCGCGTCGCGAATGCGTGCCCGTTGCGAATAGATGTGCCCATCACTTGGAGCTAGACTCCTCCTGGAGCTGGCTGTATCTTGTTCGGACGACATGGCTGACCGTCTGGAAACCATCACGTCCTATTCAAGGCTGCCCTCAGACTGGGCTATCATTTCTGACGCTCTCCTCAATGGATGGGAGGCACCTTGTAAAGAGAAGGAAGGGGGGTGAAGCTGTGGCATGTCATGAGCCCAACGCCACACAGGTGTAAGCAGACAAACGTACATCTGATACAAACATTCTGCCACGGACCTCCTAAATGCAAACTCGCAAAAGTCCAGAGTGATTTGTAAACAATGTACTGATGCAAGCTTGGTGGACCAACTAAGAAGTTGGTAGAACCAAGAAGCTGAACCAGTTGTGGGTTCTAGAAGATTGTTCTGCCAAAAAAGCTCCGGCGCTTCAGCGCTAGTCCGCTTTAGTCCAAATCTCAGAAACCCAGCGCCCTTCACAAAGGAGCCTCACGCCTCATCAACCACAGCACGCCAGGCGCAAGCACATAATCGAACAGACAAAGCGGCCGACAGCCATGCCGCCGACACAGCTACCCGCCTCAGGGAACCCCCTGTAAGTAGAAGATCCTCTAGTCGCAGCTTGTAAAAAAGGACCTCCTGAATTTAGACTGATGGCAGCAGGGTCTTCTTTGACATGACGCTGGGAGGTGAGTATCCACGGATAAAAGGGCCGCCCAATTTCTCAAGATGAAGACCGAGAGCCGTCGTGGTATCTAGCGATATGCAAGAGAAGGCGCGGCACCTCATTCACACTCGTTATCCAGCGCCGTTTGGCCCCCCAGCACTGCGCATCATGCTAAAGCACCCGGCAGGCGAGCCCCTCGGCCGCATCACATTCGAGCTCTTCAAAGACGTGGTGCCCAAAACCGCCGAAAACTTTCGCCAGTTTTGCACCGGCGAGTCCAAAGACGCGCAGGGCAAACCCCAGGGCTACAAGGGCTCCAAGTTCCACCGCATCGTACGTCTCTTTTCACGCGAACACGGCAAGCGGCCGGCTAACTCGCCAGATCCCCAACTTCATGTGCCAAGGCGGCGATTTCCTCAAAGGCGACGGCACAGGATCAACGTGTATATGGGGCCTGAAGGCGTTTGAAGACGAGAACTTTAAGCTGAAGCATGACCAGCCTGGCCTTTTGTCCATGGCTGTACGTACACTTTGCTCCTTTCTCCCCCCCCCCCCCTTTTCCTGAAATTCGTTCTCATCTCAAGCTTGTCTTCTTTTCTCTCTGTGATGTCTCTTCAGACACGTCCCGGTTTATTTTCCCACATGAGAGCATCCGTCTGACTCGCGCTGCCGTAGAACGCCGGCCCCAACTCCAACGGGTCCCAGTTCTTCATCACCACGGTGCCCACGCCGTTTCTCGACGGCAAACACGTCGTGTTCGGCAAGGTCGTAGATGGCATGGAGGTCGTCCGGAAGATGGAGCACACCAAGACGGGGTACAAGGGCAAGGACGTGCCGAATATGGACGTGGTGATTGCCCAGTGTGGAGAGATGTAAGAGTTGCTGGACTGGTGGCTTTTCAGGCGTTGTGTATTATGCCAGGCAAAGTGTGGTTTTTTTTTTTTTTTTTAGACAAAAGGCCCCAGTGAAAAAAAGATTGGG